AAGTGTTTCAATTTACTTAATTTCTTCCATAAAATAAGGCAAATTCAGTCCTATACACGCCAAAAATCAAACAAATTGCTTCCTCTCCTCTGAGGTAGGATCAACTTGTCTGAAAGTTTGAAGCCAAGCAGCAGAGACTTTTGAAAGTTATCGGAATCTTGGAATGGATTTTACAACTTAGTTCATAGGGTATCTGCACATACCGACAGCCCCATGAATCTCGCTCTAGTTACCGTGCAACCAGTGTTCAAAATATGAAGCCGATGGGATTAGGCCTACTTATGTTATGAACTATAAATAACGAAAAGTTACCGGAAGGAGAAACAGAAGAAAAAAATTCACGCAACCTCTTAAAGGTCCCCTCGCAGATATATAATATAATTCTAATAATAACAAATACTCATGCTGCTACTGTTAACTTAAATGTAACGAGATACCTAAGTATTGATGAACTCTTGAAGGTCACATTGTAGGAGAGAAAACTTAAGACCATCGTTAATAAGGAACATTGGCGTTTTCTTAGTTATCCTGAATTATTAATTCTTCCAGGTTAATAATCCAAAGCAAATCATCTTCTAAATTTTAATGTTTGATATCCCGAGTAAAACTCAAAGTTACACTTCCCTCTAAATTAAGATGGACATGCAAGCTGCTGTGCACCAGTGAGGTAATTTTGGATACAAATACAGAGGTATACCTGTTAACCCGCTGTGGTTCCTAGTTTCTAGGCTTTCTGCCTCCATATACGATTGCGCTACCGTCCAAAGTATGGATATTAAGTGCACAATAAATTAGCCGTTTCGACGGTAAAAGTTCAAAAATCTAATCCATGAAGTGCATTTCAGATGTCAGTATCTTACAAACATGCAGAGTGATAGTGAATGATGTACATGTATGATTCACAGGAGAGCCCCGCTTTACAGCGATTCACTTCACAGTGTTTCGCTAATGCAGCGGTTTTCAATTACACCCATTCTTCATTTATTCAGACTTAATACATTAAATATATTCACCACTCACTATAAACTAAGGACGAAAATATTTTAATGTAAGTAATGTGTGTACTGTATACGATTTTTTTTAGGCCTAGCTCTATTGCTCACTTAATATATGATAGTGTGAACATGCTATCAGGTTTTTACATGCATTTGAAAATGAAAAGATGCTATGTTTCACTTTACAGCGATTTTTGCTCTACAGCAGTAACCCTGAACCTAACCTGCTAGATGTATAAGCGGGGCCCCTCCTATAGTGTGTGTGTACGCATGTGCTAGCGTGCATTACCGGTGTGTGTGCGCATGTGCTAGCGTGCATTACTGGTGTGTGTGCAGTCTCAGCCGGTTGCCTTCAGGCTAAATCACTCAGAAATTACCAGATAGATTTTTTCAAGCGCCTGCCTCATTTGCGTTTAATCACATTTTTTCATAATTCTTGTCGCTATATTTGAGCTCTCCCCTGTTATCTGTTTTTGGGTTTCCCTTTTTCTCAGTTCCTGCTCCTCCTTTTCACTGTTAGAGTGTTCCTCTTTCCTCTTATTGTAAGATCCCCCTTTGTTCTATTTTTGAGAATAGGAACTAATGTTGTTAGTTCTATTCATAATATTACTTCAAGTGATTTCGATAGTATGAGGAAAGATTTCCTCTATGGCCAATTTGGCTTTTATAAAAACGTTTGTCAAATTTGTATTCATTTTTTTTAACTGTAAACAGAACATCGTATAAACCTACACCCACCTTCCTCCTGCACCTGTCTCCTGCACCCTTGATGACCAATTAAGCTATTTGCATCTCAATGATATGTACTTAAAAAAGCCTACTCGGAGGTGATGCAAAAGGATAAAAGCCACAGTACCGTGGCTGGAACAATGACTCAATACCTTGGCTGGAACAATAAAAGTCACAATACCGTGACTGGAACAATTCACAAATAACCTTAGTAAAAATTCATGACTTCGTTTTGATCCGTTCTTGATCCTTGTCAAATCACAACCCAGAAAACGTAGACAGGACCAGAAGGCAGAACGGTAGAAGAGACAAGGAAGAAGAGAGGGGTAGTAACAGTATAATAGCAGCAGTAATAATAACAGCAATGGTAGCAGATGTACTAGTAGTAATAATGATGTAGTTGCAGGAGTAATTGTAGTATTAGTGGTAGAAGTAGATAAGAGTAGTTGAGATAAATAGTACTACCACTGTAAAAGAATAGAGGAGCACTGCAGAAGACCTACTGGCCAGAAATGAATAACATCTCCAGGCGGTGGAGATCAAAGTCATATAACCTGTCGTAAAAGGACTGAGGAGCACTGCAGAAGGCTAACTGGCCTCTGCCAGAGAAGGAAACAAGACAAAAAGAAAAAGTCAGAAGACAAACAAAGGCGAAGCAAATAGATACAGAAGACAAAAAGGAAATAAAATAAGCAAATTTCAAGTCGAATCACAATTGTTCTGAAGATTATTAATACAATAAAAACTAAGCGCTAAACCCACAAGGGTCATTTCTGAACATTAGAGCATTTGACTGTGTCGAGAAAAAACGTACATCCACAGCAACACAGGAAAAAAAAATCATGTTAGGTGAATGGACACAAATGCAAATAATGTGACATTTTTTTGTGGCAACGTTTCGCTCTCCAGGAGCTTTGTCAGGCAATTTACCTAACCATTATCACCAATAATCATGTTAAAAACATTATGTGCAAGGGCTGACTCGACAAGACAGAGTTTATGAAGGGTAAAAGGACCAGTTAACAGGATGACAGAAAAGAACACTGTTGGTACTGGCAACGCGACACTAATTTCTTGTGCGTTCTTCAAGTCTGTCAGAAAAAGTACAGCCAGTATTACCAAATTATTGGAGAGGACAGTGTGTTTTGGGGTTTACGTGATTTTCTAAACCAACTTGTCGGTATCTATTACCAAGGTTTATACCAGAAAATGGCGTAAACACCGGAAACATCGGTAACAGAATAAAAAACTGAAGAACAAACGCTAAACCGGGACAGGAAATGTATGAACTACATTATTAGAAACAGTATCAGTTTGACTAAGAGTAAAGTTGATATCTAAAGGATGCAGGGTGTTAATATTTTGGAGATTGGAAATCCAGGAAAGAAGCGAGTTTGAGACTGAAGAAAGTTTTGCATGAGTATTGGCAGAGTTTATGAAACTGGGAGGAGAGCCAAGGCGAGAGAATGAGCTGCGAAGAGTGGAAGCTTCAGATATAGGAAGTTGAAAGTCACTGATGCGGAGGGCACGGAAAAAAAGAGTAATAAAAAAATTGTCTTGACAGAAGAAGCATGGTAAAAAAAAATCATGACTGTATATGCTTGTGAGCACTTGCTTGTCCTAAATGGAAAAATAAATAAACCAGTGATAGAGTGGTATGGACATGAACATCAAAATGAGGACGCAATGAATTAGGCTGCCATTCAGTGTTGAACTTCAGAGAAGGAGCAGTATTTTCACGGGCATCAGTAAAATGTTGGAAGAGGCTAGACCCCTCTAGAGTCATGTGGCCAGAGAAGACATTATATATGTAGCAAAACGAGAGAGAAGGACGTACCCCAATAGTAGGAAGACGAATAGTGTCAAGATATTTCATATAAAGCTTAACAAGAACAGGGGAAGGAGGAAAGCCCATACCAACATGAATAGGATGAATAATGACACTGACCTCTCAAGGAAAAAGAAAACGAATCCAAACAATAGCAAATAAATTTGCTTTGAGAAACGTCCATCTTCGTTGAAGTATCAAGTCGATCAAAAGATTGATTCTCCAATTGCTCGGAATCCAAGGCTTCCAGGGTTATTAACTATGCAAGCAAGATGGAAAATTTCCATCTACACAACTAATTAGGCACCATTCTATTCCTTAGATAAATCAGCCAATGGGGGTTCGAAGCCAATTAGAAGAAGCATACCCATGTTATTTATGGAAAAATTACATACACTACATTTTAAAAATTATAAATGACGAATTGAGACCTACACACTACAGTAACAGTAACGACTTTCTACGAAATCTACACCAGTCTACCTGGAGGGCATTCCGGGAATCAACGCCCCCGCGGCCCGGTCCACGACCAGGCCTCCCGGTGGATCAGGGCCTGATCAACGAGGCTATTACTACTGGCCGCACGTAGTCCAACTTGCAGTGTTGAGAGTTTGAAGTTTATCGATAGAGGATTATTGGAGTTTCCGCAGGGAAACCAAATTCATGAATGGTCTGTAAAAACCTGACCAGAGGGCACTTGCACATGCCAAACACCAACGTTGAAGGTTTGAAGCCAATCGGATGAGGAGTTCACAAGTTATAAATGGAACCTCGGAGGAGAAAAAACAGAATCGGTCAACCACTGGAAGATATTTCATCAGAGATATTCAATACAACTTTATTATCTGCCAGCCTTTGTCTACAACAAAGGGGAGTTATGTCAGTAATAAAGCTCATGTTTGGGCGAAATATAATAATAATGATGACAGGGGAGCGCTAAACCCGTAGGATTATACAGCGCATGTGGGGGGGGGATGGAAGGTATTCAGGCTCAATTCAGGGAAACGGAGCACAGATCCAATTCCCTAGATCAAGAGCCCCTCACCAGCGTTAAGGAACTTTCCCTGAAGCAAGTTTATTCTTTTCTCTGAGGATGAGGATCCCCAGGACAGTCCTAGTGGTATAAAATATATATATATATATATATATATATATATATATATATATAATATATATATAATATATATAATATATATATATATATATATATATATATATATATATATATATATATATATATATATATATTCTCCCACGTCACTGTATATACATCTTATATATATGTGTAAAATATCTCTGTATAATTTTATCAGTATAATTTTATTCCTATAACTACATCGTTTTTTTATTATCATCTGTATATTGTGAAAGAAGTAAACCCTTATAGGTGATTCCCGATTTAAATGGTCTAGAATTACAGTGAAAAAAAACATAATAGGTAAACTCAC